GGTTCACTTTCAGCGTCTTCATAAAGGATAGATACAACAATAGGCAGTCTTCTAGCCCTTCAATAGAGTATCTGCTGTTAATGATGAATTACACAGCCTGGGCCAGGTCCTCTGCTGCTATAAATTGCCTTAGCTCCACTGAAGTCTATATACAGCAATCGTGAATCTAACAATATGTGTATTAGTTGCTCTTTGGCTCCAGACACATCTTTGCTAGTTTTGTCTGTTTCATCTTCAGACTTGCTTTTAACCCTTTTAGTGCAGGATTTCAGGTCCAGCCTTACCTGGGTCTCCTTTTTGGCAATTTGTGCAATAATTGCAACACAGCTTAGGCTATTTGGACATATAAGTGTCAGACTATATTTGCACTTATTTGGGTTAGGGTGGCCAGGTGCCTGGATTTTGACCAGAAAGTCTGGTCGAAAAGGGGACCTGACAGTGTCCGGTCAGCTCTACTGACAGAACACCCAGAGTCCAGTTACCGTGGGCGGGGGAGGCAGGGTGGCGCTGGGTCATCACCCACTCCAGCCCCTACTCCGCCAGGGCCTCCTCCTACCTGCATCAGGCAGCTGCAGCTCCCAACCCCGGCAAAGCAGGCAAGTCCCTCCTGACCCGGGCGGAGGGGTGGGAGGGGGAAAGCAGTGAGCGAGGAGAAGGAGGGGGAAAGAGGCATGGATAGGAGTGGAGCCTTGGGGGAAGAGCCAGGGCAGGGACAGGACCTTGGAGGAAGAGGCGGGGCAGGGGTGGGGACTCATGGGAAAGAGGGAGGTTCTCGCACTCCTACTGGAGTGGCTGGTTTTTAAAATTACCAAATTGGCAACCCTAATCTGAGTATAGTTACTCACTTAGCTCTCTAAATGTCCTAAACTACACCTTTAAACCTTTGAATGTGGTAAAAGGTGAGCAGGGCTTTGGAAATGTGTCCCTTAATCTCCACTTTACATTGTACCTGCCAGAGACTGAGATCCAGGCCCTGATTCCATCACTTGAGATGGATTTCTTTTCTTTAAAGAATACTTGTATCCATCCAGTCAACCATTTTTGTATTTTTTTCTTGCCGTTTTTTCCCTTTCTCTCATAGATGTGACATATGCCAATTTCTTGTGATGTTAATATAATTCTTAAATTAGCTTCCATGCTGCTTTTATGATTTCTAATGACCTAGTTTTTCCCTTCAGGAGTTTTCAGGGGTCTGGAAGAAGCTCTACTAACAAAGGAGCAGCTTTTTCAATATAGCTGCCTTTAAACTAGCAGCTGTTGCCAGCACAGCCATGTCAGTCACAAATCGCACTTCTTCACACCCCAGACCTACATAGCTATGGCGTTAAAAGTTTGTAGTGTACACCGGGCCTTACACCCTTATTCTATTTTTTTTAAATTAGCCTGCTTGAAGCTTTGTATCACTTTACTGCTTGTTTGTATGACCCCCAATGGGAGGATGTCAAAATTTCATTATATTATGGCAGCTGGTACTGGTGGCTCAAACACACCTATTTCATGAACCAGCCCCGGCGTTTTACATAAGACTAAATTAGGAGAATGTCTTGTATTCTCTAGACCAAGTGGTTCAATGGAGAGTTTGACCTAATTAGGAATGTCTCCCAAAGAGAAGCACAGAACTGCATTCCTGTGAAACAATGGGCCCTGCTGTTGTCACTGAGATTTATTATTGACCTACTAAGCTTTCACTATAGCGGTCTGCATCATAAATAGCATTAGGATAAAAAGTTTAACCAGTTCACATAACCAGAATGGAGTATGGTTCAAGTCTGTGGCTCACAGGTGCTGCACAAGAGATTGAAATAAATAGCTTCTGTAGCTGCTTGGATCATTTCCAGCATCAGAAGTGTGAGTCAAGATGCAATTACTTGCATTAAGATTTAAGATTTGGTAACCTGAATAAAATAAAGAATGGAACGTTCTAAAAGTAGGGATCTGATTTCTCCTTCCAGTTAATAAACACTGGCTCAGTCCTTCAATCCAGGACTGGACAGGCAAAAAGCTGCCATTTGCATGGGTGAAATCTTTGCTTATGCAAGGAATGTAAGATTGATAGCCACAAAAGGAAAAAGAAAGATCTAAAATCTCACCTATTATAGAATATGAGTTCTTATATTTCACCTGAGACATTTATATGTGACATTCCAATATAACTATGCCACAGAGCACACTGTACAGATTATGTAGATTTTCTTCATAATGTGAGAGCTGCTTTTGATTATTTTGTCTATTTTTTAAAAAGAGCAACTTGTTTTATTGGGAAATGGGAAATGAACAAAACAAAAAGGAGGTTTTTATAGAGCACCTTTCATAACAAAGGGTATCCTAAGGTTTTCTTCAAAGTTATGAGTTAGATGCTAACAGTAATAGTAGCCATGTAAACAAATTGTGCAGTCAGCTGTAACTTGTAAATAGCATTAAATCTTGGAACCTGTGGCACTGAAAGAAGGAATGTATGCTGGAACTCATTACTTCATGTCTTATTCAATACAGTGCTAAACAGTTGCCACCCATCTTGCTATGTTTCACGGCCTCCCCTTTTTATGTCTCTTGGGATGCATGTTATGAACAAGCCTTAAGTCACAGGTGGGCAAACTACAGCCCGCGGGCCACATCTGGCCTGCAGGACCCTGCTGTCTGGCCCCTGAACTCCTGGCCTGGGAGGCTAGCCCCCGGCCCCTCCCTTGCTGTCTCCCCTCCCCCGCAGCCTCAGCTTGCCCCGCCGCAATCCTCTGGGTGGCGGGGATGCCTGACCTGGTGCTCTGTGCTGCGTGGTGCGTGGCTGGCTCCAGCCAGGCGACACGGCTGCCTGACCTGGTGCTCTGAGCTGTGCGGTGGCGTGGCTGGCTCCAGCCAGACGACACGGCTGCCTGTCCTGGTGCTCTGGGCAGTGCGGCTGTAGAGCCGTCAGCCACCAGTGCTCCAGGCAGCGCGCTAAGGGGGCAGGGAGCGGGGGGGGGGGGTTGGATAGAGGGCAAGAGAGTTCGGGGTGGTGGTCAGGGGGCAGGGGTATGGATAGGGGTTGGTCAGAGCGGGGTTGAATGGGGGCGCAGGGGTCCCGGGGGGCAGTCAGGAAGGAGAGGGGGGGTTGGATGGGGTGGCGGAGGGCAGTCAGGGGCAAGGGTTCTGGCAGAGGTCAGGGAGAAGGGGTGGTTGGATGGGGCAGGGGTCCTGGGGGGAGTCCATTGGGGGCAAGAAGCAGGGGGGGTTGGATAGGGGGCAGGGGCCGGGCCACGCCTGGCTGTTTGGAGAAGCACAGCCTAACCGTCCCTCCATACAATTTCAGAAACCTGATGTGGCCCTCAGGCCAAAAACTTTTCCCGCCCCGCCTTAAGTATAACAGTAGGAAAGGTGGGAAGGGGTAAACCTTGTCCACCTCTCCATTTTTGGTTGTGAGGTCTGTTTAAATTCTACATTAACATTGTTTCACCATATTAAGTTTGCCTTTCTGCTTTTGTAATTCCCCACTGAGTATTTCTGTGGTGTATTTAAGATTCTATGCAAATTTCTGTGTTTTTCCCCTTTGGTTTGTTGTTTGTTGTTTATAGACACAGTGGGAGAGGAAATATTCCATGTGGCATATGTGGAATTAGGTGCATATCTGTCATGAACAGCAACATCAGTTGCGACTAATTCCCCAGACAGAACATTAAAAAAGTATCCCAGCTCTTTGAGGTTTCTTGGGTCTATCAGCAGGAACATATAAAGACAGACACAGCGGTATTTAAAGTGTAGTGATGTCAACTTTCCATTCGACTTAACGTTTGGTGTTTGTTATCAAGTTTGTTTTTTTCATCTATTCTGTCAAACCTTTCTCTGATCCCTCATCTCAGTCTAAACGGGATTTATAAAGCCGTTGTCTTTTGTTTGAGAAATCCTAATTGTTTTATCTGATTATCGAGGGAAAGTATAGAAAAATATTATCCAGGTTCTTGGAGACCTCTGCTGGTAGTATTTTTTTTTTAATTCTTTCAGGTTGTGTTTGTTATTTTAAAATAGGGCAAATCTATCTTTAAGAAAAACCTGAAACACATCTGATTTTAGTAGAGTCCTGAAGCTCAGGCTGAGTTTTTTTGAAAGGGTCACTGGGGTTTTGTGCAGTGAACTAGAGACAAACTTGCGCCAATGTGGCTTTGTGGGGATAACATAAACTCAGTTTTTTTTTCAAGATTTCAGCAAAACTTGAGAGTTACAGCAGAAATTTGCTCTCAGTTTTGAGTATGGATAATTTCAGGGTGTGAAAACATACCTGACACAAAACTAGAAAAAGGTTTATACTGACACCTGCGAACGACAAACGCCAGTTTTCACAGAGATCTATTTAGAAGATTAAGTATGTGAAGTCAGTACTTTAAAAGCTACTATTTTAAGGTCCCAATCCTCTGAACCCTTATTGACATGAGATGCCTTTTTCTGCACATGTATCCTTTATTCACATGAGTAGCTCAGGTTTTGCAGGATCTGTCCCTAAATTAGCAAGGGGCCAAGATGTGGTATTAGGTTCTGCAATTAAATCTAAATACCAACTATCCAAAATTTGAAATTAGGCCCATTACAGAAGCATGACTGAGTACAGTGCTTGAATGTAGATCCTAACATTTCCAAAGCTTAAAGGGTTTTGATCAAGAGCTGCAATCCAGCACGCCACTTAGGCCCAGTTCGTGAAAACATCAGGAAAGCACTAACTTCAAGCATGCCAGGAGTCCCGTTTATTTCAACGGCACTTCTCATGAGCTGAAGTACTTCATTTCTGAAGATGTGATTTTTTTTTTATTAAATACTTATATTAAAAATAAAAGTTGGGAAACTAGGTCCTGATCCTGTTCCCATGGACTTCAAAAGAAGCAGAATTGGACCCCTAGGGAAAAAATCGTCAAAGCGAATCCAATGGTATTAAATATGTGATTCTTTGAGGAAAGCTATTTGGGGGGTTTGCTGGCATCTAGAAAATAGACTCTCGTTTACAAACATGGTTTTATTCATTACTTTCTGCATTGCAGCACCACCTAACTGGATTCAGAAAATAAGTGATGTGCACAAAGCTATAGAAGAAAGCATCTTTTGGGAGTGTAAAGCAAATGGGAGACCAAAGCCTTCATACAGCTGGCTAAAGGATGGTGAACCATTGATACCTCGGGTAAGAACATTGCTGAAGTCTAATGCCTATGTTCTTTGAACGAGGTGGCCTTTTGCAGAATGTTCTATATGGATTCTGCTGATTTGGCAGCTTTTTCATGTCTGCATAGTTCACTGCCTTTGAAATAGAAGTGAAAACAATGATGGAAATTCAAGCTAGAGCATATTTTCTACCCTCGTGAGTCAATGCCATTGTATGACATTGAGTTCCTGTATTGAAGAAAAATAGTCCTTTACTTTCTGTAGGATGATGAGGAAGGCTTCAGGACAGGTTCAGAAGAGATTTATATTAGGGCAAACAGGTTACATGAAACAATTATACTTTTACAAGTATCTATAGCTCTGTGGAAAGAGTAATTCATAATACTAATCTGATGGTCGAGAGGCCCAGTAAAATCAGGTACCGTGGGGTTTTAGGACATAAAATGATTTTCATTCGATAGTTTTCAGCTGAACTTCAAATGTTAATGAAACTTTGGCATTTCCTCCAGTCTCTAAACAATAATCCAATTCCTCTTGTTCAGATTTGTTCCTGTACAGGCAACCAGAGACTTGACCTGCCATTAGCAGTGCCATGAAGAACTGCCTACAGATTAGCAATCCATAGAAGTGTGGGATAAAGCTCACTCTCCCCCTGCCCCACTCCTTCTCTCACTAGAGGGCAACTTTGAGTCCTAGGATTGTCTCAATTAGACAGCAAAACTAAAGCAAATTACTAAAGGGTTATCAGGGTAGCCTGCATTTTTCTCCCTCCACTTAATGTGAAAGGACATGGATGCCTAGATTTGATCAAGTTCTAATAAAGATTGCACAAACATTAAATTGCCACCCTGCAGCCAAGTAGAAAGCCAATAGCTCTTTATATTCCTTATTTTTTTAAAATGGCAGAACTCCCAGGGGGGGAGGGAACATTTTGCTGTACTTATTAAAATTGATAACACGAGTTCCATATCCTTAGGCTGACAAATGATACCATAGTCTTTTGTTCCACACGCTAATTTTACTTCATGCTGGTCACTAGCAGATGGTCTTGTTCTTAAATCACGTTAGTGGCAGAAATAAAGTAAAGGATCATTAAATTATTAACATCTACATTTTCCCCCCAGTAAACTGCAGCTGATTTTAAATGTTTCTCCCTGCACCACCTAAGATGATTATTATTCCTATTAACCTTCAGAGGGCTACAGGCTAATAACTCAACTGTTTTAAATGCTCTCAAGAATGTATTTGACCATGATACACTACCTTAAAACAGAAGTGCATTTTTAGATTCGAGTTTATCTCTTTGAAGGGGATATTAATCTGAATGGTTTAGGTATTAAATCAATGAGAACTCAAGGGAGAGTCCTCCAATTTAAATTGCATTTACCAACTACGGTATTGGTTTTTCCATTTAACGTCTAACCTGATATAAATTTAGTTGACAGACAAATAGATTGTAGCATGTAAATTGTTCATATTACTATTTTTTTCTTGTCCCCTGTGATATAAGATATGACACAGCTGCTGTAACATATAAATTCTAAGGTGGGGTTTCCTTATTTGTTTCGTTGTTCTACAGGACAGAATTCAGATAGAACTTGGAGCACTTACAATAACAAATGTGAATCTGTCAGATGCAGGCATGTATCAGTGTGTAGCAGAAAACAGACATGGAGTCATTTTCACCAGTGCGGAGTTGAGTGTAATTGGTGAGTTTCCTTTCCTAAAAACCGAAAATCTCTTGTAACCTATACCAATGTTGTGAAGCTTAAATGTCTCTGCCAAGAGTACATCACTATACCTCCGGCACCAAGGAAACAAGTATACTAAATATTATTGAGGCAGGTGGAGATACACGGAATAAAGAATTCCGCATATCACTCTATCTTGTTGTTAATACAGGTACCTGAGCATGAAAGTTGGTGGCGTACCACACACCTCGTGGTGTTTAGAAGCCCCTATATCAGCCTTTTAATAAGACAGTAGGAACCAGTGATAGTGCAGTTGGGACTTGATCCATGTTGAACTCAGTAAATCTGTCTATTGAATACAGAGTCTGAATTGAATCCTCTTTAGGAAACTGCAAAACTTTCCTCTTTGAATAGCCTTTTCACCCTAAGAATGACACTCACAATGCTGACACCCTCTTCAACCCCTAAATCCCTAAAAGACCTCTACCTTAAGCAGAGTTTTGACACCACAAAAAGGGAAGTGCCGAAGACTCCGTAACATCCCATAGGGACTTCATTATTGCTACTGATTTTATGTGGAAAGCAGTATAAAACCCTAAGACAGAGAGACAGACTGACTTCAGTGGGTCATGCCCATGTTATATATCCATATTAGTGATCATAATGACAGCTATAAATTGTGTCAATGTATTGCAATAGTAAAACTGCAGTTCTTCCTATATATCTGCTTATAGTCAAATTGTTCTATGACTACACGACAAGAGGGTTCCATTGTATGCATTTTTCTTTTGCAACAGTCTACTATGAGTACGTGCTGAGCAGCTCATTTGTCAAGTGATTGTCAATCCACACATGGGAATTTAAAAAGTGTTAAGTATCAGGGGGTAGCCGTGTTAGTCTGTATCTACAAAAACAACAAGGAGTCTGGTGGCACCTTAAAGACGTGAGGTTTTTACCCACGAAAGCTTATGCCCAAATAAATCTGTTAGTCTTTAAGGTGCCACCAGACTCTTTGTTGTTTTTAAAAAGTGTTATGCACTCTGAGGCCCATTCAGCAAGTAAACACTTTGGGGCTGGTATATTGGCCTCTATTGCACTGGAGTACAGTAAGAGTAACTCACTAGTTACACCTGGTAAAATTGGTGTAAGCAAGAAGAAAATCAGGGTCAATTTGTGTAGCACTAGAGCAAGTCCAGAATGGAGAGACAGGCTGTTTGCTGGTCTTGCATATTGTACAATTCCGTTTAACCCGGGGTTTTGGCTATCCCTTCATACCATAAGATAAAAAGAGTTTCAGATAATGAGGAGCCAACCAGACAGTTTTACAAGGATCCATGGACTGAGCCTCAGACCATCACTTTGAACTAGAAATCTTGTCTCCTTATCTTATCTGCAGAGGGGGAAGCTGGAGCACAGAGAGACTAATTTTGATTCTCCTCTCACTTATTCTGGTGAGAATCAGGAGTAGCCCCACAGTATTCATTGGCAGCATAAAACTGGTGTGAGATCAGAATCAAACCTAAAGGGATTTCCAGGAGGTGTATGTCAGAGTCAGGGATAGAACTCATGTCTCCAGACTCCTAGTTCTGCACTGAATTAGACAGCTGCCCTTCCTTCCTTCCTTCAGCATAAGCTTGCGAGTAGCTAATTTGCTCGCTTACAATGTTGGGAAGGTTCTTTCCATCAGAGAGAAAAGAGGGAACCAATAAAGAGGTCAGATTACATGCAGCATTTCCAAGGGGAAGCTAGAGTTTCTGATTTAAACAATCTAGTTTTAGGAGTTTTCAAAGAGAATGTTCAGTACCATTGTTTGCTTTGTCCTTAAGAACAAGGCACGAGGTGTGTTCTGCACATCACATTTCAATGTAGGTCGTCCTTTTATCAACCTGAGAGATGCCTACATAGAAAAAAACATTTTCATCTAGAAGTTTGCTGCTCGAGGAAAGTACAATCGTGTTCAACAAATTAGGCTTCACAGTGATAAGATTTATTGGGCATGTTGCCTACTGTATAAAAGAAATCCAGATAAACCACTGATGTTTTTCCAGTCTATTCAGAACTGCTATACAAATGAGCCTTGTAAGGTAGGCAGAACCTAGCATGAGATAAAGACCCAGATTCTTCACTGCATTCAGGCTGCTCTTGGTATAGGGGGCAGATCCAGCGCTTACCTGTGCCCTAATAATCTCTGGATGGTAGAATGGCCTCTTGGAGCTGTTGGCAGCTGATGTCATTTAGAGTAGCCCTAAGACTGCTCTCTCATTCCTGTGGACTTGACCAACTCACAACAGCCCTAAGATCAGGAGTACAAAAACATGGCTGAAAGTCACTTTTACTTTTCCAGTGTTTGGCTGCAGCCGAGGCTCTAGGCCAGTATATTGTGGAGTTGGTGGGTGATCCTAACAATAGCCCCCAGAGAACACAGAGAGGAAAGAGTATAGTGCAATAGCTTCCCATATCCACACAGGAAACCGGGATGGATTTGAGATGGCTTTTACCCTGATACTTCATCTCTAAGAAAACCCAACTCTTCAAGGTCAGCATCTCTTAAAGCAGCAAACAAAATCCCTGTTTCTCTATTCTGTCTGCCTCTTCAATAAATCCCTGTGCTAGTATGACACTCTGCCTGTCTGACAGCAGTCCTATTCTGCATTATACCCCATTTCATCAGGGCCTGTGCAAAAATGTAATGGGTAAGCAAGGAGTGCCTGGGGTCTTTACATATAGTGTTTTCCATCTTCATCAAGCTCAAATGTAGAACAGGTCTAAGAGAACTGCTCCATGCATAACTAACAAGGACCTTAAAGAGTTAGTCTTAAAAACCTGCAGATCGAGAGAAGGATACGGTTAATTCTATATTTGCTTTGTTCACATTAAGGTTGCAATGACTCTGTGCTGTTGAGGAACTGATCCTTCTTCTATATTAAGACCAGTTCTTTGTTCCAAATAAATGCTTGAAATAAAAGAACTAGTAGAATACCGAAAAACCTGCTTTACAAATATATTGGTAAATCCAAGACCTGAGTTCAATTTTCTGTGATTCCTAGGGTTATGTTATCTGTTCACAAATATTTAGGCTGTTGCTGAGTATTCAGTATCTTATATGTAAATCATAGTAGGCTCTGTGTGGTTCCCCCCCCCCCACACACACACAGAAAATGACAAGAATGATGATTCTGCAATAAATGTGGTGTTCATTATTTTCCAGTTTAAAAAGTTACAGCCATCTCATACCATCGGGGAGCAAAAACAATAGTCCTGTGTGACTCAGGCTACTATACATAGAACACATGTATACAAGTAACAAAAGTGAATAGTCAATGCAAACACTTTGCAAGCAAACCATCCTCTGAAAATTAGTTGTCTAAACTGTTCAGTAAACATTTAAAAGTAACTGATCTATTCAATAATTGATTTCCAAATTATTTGTCAATAGAAAAAAAGTGGCACATTTTATTTTAAAATTGGTAATTAATATTGTTCTCAAAGAGCAATGTGACCAACTCTGATATATATAGTATATTAATATGTAGAGGTCCTCACTTTGTGTCTTCTATTTTGAAAGGTTTTTTGGCTCCACTGTTGTTTTTCTGGTACTTTGATAATCTCCTATATAACATATGTACTTTCCTCTATGCCAAAATGAAACTATCCATCTATGATTACACATAAAAGGCAAGACAGCCCAGATGTTAGTTGACTCACAGATTCACAGAAATTGGAGATAGAAGAATTCTCTTAGGTCATATAGTCCATCCCCAGTCAGCAAGAAGTTATTCCTTACCCTATGTTATTTTTGCATTGGAGGCAGAGTGGATGGCAGAAAATTAAGTGACAGAGTAGACGCTTCAAGAAAACTGAATTTCTCATGGGTTCCACTCTCCAGTTTTGTACCACCCTGCTGCTTCAGGAGCATTTTAGACATAGGCCTAGTTTGACTTCTATATTTGGGGGGGGCAGCACCAGTGCAGACAATGGGGCTATGCATGGGGGGGTCAAAATCCGTGCCTACCTGAGTTTGCAGTTGAGCGGGGGGGAGGAATACCTCCCCCCCCCATCCCTCCCCAAACTATGGTCATGATTTTAGATCATTATGTGTAACGTCTACTTGATCTATAAACAGTGAATTAAAACTCTCCTGAAGTAGCGGTGTAACACAAAACTGCAGAGCCAAGCCAAATCTTTGGGCTCACTTCTAGAATTATATGCCATAACATGAAAAAGTTTTTAATTTTTGCCACAAAGCATTTTGGCAACCAAGTTCGATATATTATCAAGCAGAAATTATTTGCTAAAACAAACAAGCAAACAAAAGACCTGCATCCTAGAAGGGAGTTGTGAGGACAATCATGCATTGGAACAACAGCAGTAGATTTGAAAATAGAATGCAAAATGAATGTCATAATTCAAAAAGCCAAACATGGTGCCAAAGCATTGTATTCAAAAGTATAGCTGTATGAAATGTACTGTGAAATGAGCTCTGCTATGATTAGTACCCATGTAAAATAATCATATTGAATTAGTATATTGCATCATATCTTAGCTAATAGGACATGTAAGATGTAAAGATAACTTTTTTGTAGTTACAAAAGTAGCAGATTTAGTGTTATCGGTTGTGGGGGAGATGAGGTCTTTTCTAATTTGTCCCAGTTTGTAGGTGTCACATTTATAGGGCTGGCCATTTTTTAAACTTGGATTTGTGCATACATGTTAATTATAGTAAATACAGTATGTACTCCATAATTCAGTTTAATTCTGGAAGTTGTTGAAGACTTTTTAGCAAACAAAATTTACTGTATGCTTAAAGATAATTCAAATCACAAACTCTTGGCTTGACACTCTGTGTTAAGTCCTAGTACTTTCCGTTATATTGCACAAACCTTCCAGGTTAGCCACAGCTGACAAACTATACAGTGAGCATGGACAGAATTGATCATTGTTCCAGGTGGTCTGTGGGTTTGTGAATGAAGTCTTCAGGGGACACCTACAAAATGTGTTTTTTGGTTTGGTTTGGTTTTTCCACACCTGTGGTTTGAATTATAAAACATATTTTTAAATAAAACTTGAATGTCTACTGAAATGGACCAAACTTTCAGCAGGCTTCCTCGCATCTTCCAAATTTCCAGGCACTTCTGTTTGCACATGCCTGTGTAGGCAATTGTCCATGCAAATAGGCATCTGTAAAATGTGCAGATGTATTTAAGGAGGCCTGAAGTAAATGTTGCTGTGTAACAAGATTTTTGTTCCCAAAATCCTGGAAGACTTACAGATCGAGGGGGAAAGTGGGAGCACCAAGTTCAATCAAAAAGCCTCATTTTGGGTTTGGGACAGATAGACAAAGATGTATGTGGTCAGCTGAAAAACATTTATCAAATCCTTTAACTATCACTACGTGTGTTAAGTTTGATTCTGAACACAATGAACATATTTATATACTATGGGGCTTATTTTGACCTAAAATTGGTTTTATACAAATATAAATATTTGGGGGGGGGCAGCTTCATAGTACTTCTAACTTATTTACTCTAGTGTAAAAAGAGAATCAGTTCTTGTATCTATACAAAACTGTGCAGCTTATTTGAATATAAATGTTACTTTTTCTGACTCTTTAAATTGTAGATACTATTAGCATGTCAACATCTGCCAAGAGCTCCAACATGATGGAAACCGAGATATCACTTTTATTCGGCACTCTAAGTATAAAATAAATTGTGCTATCTCAGAAACCACTCTGGAGTAATTGTTTGCAAATGCTGACAGTTCAATGCTGATCACTGTACCTACAGTAAAAAGTGTTAGAACAAGAAACATTTATGTTATTAAAAAAAAAAAAAAGCTGAGAACCTAAATGTCCCACTAAATTCCCTGAGTCACTCAACCTCTCTTCAAATCACAGCATTTATTGTCCTATATTATGTGTTCCATTCCATAATTATGGCAACAAACATCTCCCTGCATACTGTTGTGTTACGCACACACAGTACTGGGGAAGAGATCTGTAATCGCCTGTGTACTGTTAGGCATCTTAGCATATTTTCATCATCACCACACACTGTTATGTTATGAACATGGAAGAATGACACCCACTGCACATATAAGTATTTCTGATGTGAGCTTCTCCAAATTGCACTGTATAAATGGAGCCTGATCCCTAGAGGTGTAAATCAGCAAGGGTCCATTGACTTTATTAGGGCTACACTGCTTTACACCAGCTGAATATTTGGTCCGTGATCTTTAGGTTTCATTACCAATACGTTTTGCTATTAAATATATCTTTCCAAATAAATTAAGCTTTTAAGCACAGAAGTATCTATTTTCCTAATCAATCTGCATGTGTAGCTCCTGATGCTGAGAATTACGGAAGTTACAAATGTAAATTGGTGAGAGGATACACCAGAATATTCTAATGTTAAAAAAAAAACCGATTGGTTCTTTCCAGAGTGAATTCTAAGCTTCTACTTTTCTTTTTCAGCTTTGGGTCCAGACTTTTCCAAAACCCTGTTGAAAAGATTAACTCTTGTTAAAGTGGGCGGTGAAGTAATCATAGAGTGTAAGCCAAAAGCTTCCCCCAGGCCTACTTATACTTGGAAGAAAGGAAAAGAGATCCTAAGAGAAAACGAGAGGTAAACTCTTAAAGTAACCATTACTTTTGTTAGCTTGCTCCAACCCAAGGGCTTTCAGCAATGAAAGCTAAAATGGTCATTAATAGCTTCCTGGAAATGACTTGCAAATAAATGTGAAAACAGCTAGTGTTCAATCTGTGGTATTTGGGGTGGGAGAGCTGCTCCTCTTGTGTTCATCCCAGGCTCTGTAGAGTGTTAAAAAACAAAACCTGCCAAGAAGCTTATCCACTAAAGATATAATCTAGAGCAAATATTTTTGCCTTTGGATTGCTCCAAAGAGCCATAGTTCTTCAAAAAGATTTCCCAGGAGATCCTCTCCCTGAAACTCTCTACTGTAGATTACTGTCCCTTGTAAATTATTCAGTCTCCCAGCAAACAACAGTTATTTGGGGTCAGTAACTAGTTTGGCAATTGTAATGTCTGACTTGGAGACAGTACTTTCTGAGTGGCCAAGTCACATTTATTTTATACCAAGGATGATATTTGCAACCAGCCTCAACATGGCCTCTAAATTTGCACATACAGTCAGGTGTTGGTACTGAATATTTTGATATCTGATGGCTTTATCTACCCAATTTGTGCAACAGTTGTGCTTGTAATTATGCACAGGAAAACAATGGAAACCATTCTTTGAAAATTTGTCTCAAGGAATTTATGAGATAGTGTTACATGCCAATTTTGGTGGCATTAGATCAATGAGCAGAATCCTGTACTGCTAGCAGATAGCTGACATTTTACAGTTCTTAAAATTAATGCATGTAGCTCTGTGTTTATTAAAATATTGTCAATGGAAATTGTCAAGATTTCTGGTACTGTTGGCTTTCACCTGCCCACAAGGATGACTTTATCCTTCATCCTTCAATCAGTCATGCTCGAAATCAGCAAATGCAGAAGTGCCCAAATACTACTTTTAAAATATGTACCAACCTTTTTCAGTGCTTAGACTGGCTCAGGTTTGATTCACCTGAAATTCTAGCCTCATGCTTTGTTTTATCTGAACTGCTTACCTGTAATAACCCCATTCTCATTGCAAACATTAGAATGGGTATGTCAAAATTTAGGCTCATTTATGGCCAGATGCTAAAACATGATGAAGACAAGGGTGCTCATTGCCTTGCAATATCTGACATTTATTTATTAAGCTATTGCATTATGTGCTGTTTGCTTTGAACTCTCAAGATGCCATTTTCAATTGGCCAGTCGTTTTGCCCCACTCCCTCTTTAAAGTGGGCTACATCATGCATTGAACCCATTGAAGTAAGTGCAAGTTGTGCCTGGATGAGCACTGCAGAGTTTCGTTCAGTCTTATCTTGTGGATGAAGTATAGAGCTACCTCTGCCAACTAGAATATGAGGCAAATCTAGATTAAAGTTATAAAAAAGTGTTTGGGACTCAGGATGTATTGGGTTTTAAAACTGAGATATCTTGTTCTTCAGACAAAAGACTGTAAAGAGAATAGAAAATGTTGAACATTTAAGCCTTTACTGTCTCAGAATTGTGAGCTCACTGTTCTACTTGCATTCTGCACTAGCCAAACTCGGTATCTGGAGTTTGTATAAGCATCACCTGTGCACATTTTCTCATGTGCAGTGGTGGTGGGGTGACTGAGGCTTGGTTTATTTGGACAAAGGGCTACTATCTAGAAGGAAAAGTATACGAATATATTTTTCTCATCTAAATATTTACTCTGACTGTGATACAATGCTGACCAAGCACAATTCTTTGGACTTTAACCTTATCCTCCCAGAAGAAAATATGAACTAAAACATGAAAACTCTACTTTAACTCCTATAGTTATTATTAGAAAAGATTTAGATACAGAAGGGGTTGGAGTTGGAAAGTAATAGATACCATTTGAATTTAAGGAAGTGTGGTTCACCAAAATAGTTCATGAAGGTGGGATCATTTTGGCTTCTAATTGGGGGAAAATAATCAAATAAATGAATGGTTCAACAGGACACAGATTAACTACGATATATTAACTACTCATTCATAAAAGCCTTAGCAATTCGCAGTATCACATCTGTTCCATATTCACTGGAGAGAGCCAGGCAAGAGCCAGATGCAATTGTGGAAAAAATAGCAAAGAAGATAATGATGACTAATGCAAGATCTGAAGCGTGACATCAATACATTCTTTCATATGGACCCAAATAGAATTACTGTTCTTCCAATTATTTCTCCTAGCCCTAATGCCTTAATAAGACAATTTTCCTTCTAAGGCTACATCTACACTACAGGGGGGAGTCGATTTAAGATACGCAAATTCAGCTACGTGAATAGCGTAGCTGAATTCGACGTATCACAGCCGACTTACCCCGTTGTGAGGACGGCGGCAAAATCGACTTCTGCGGCTTTTTGTCGGCGGCGCTTACTACCACCTCCCCTGGTGGAGTTAGAGCGCCGATTCGGGGATCGATTGTCGCGTCCCGACGGGACGCGATAAATCGATCCCCGAGAGGTCGATTTCTACCCGCCGATTCAGGCGGGTAGTATAGACCAGACCTAAAGTTTCCCATACTGTATTATTACTACAAATCCATGATAGCCTACCTGCCCAGATGTAAAACTGGGTACCATTGGGGTTCCTGGCTGCTTGGAAATATAAAAACTCTCTCATCTGCTACATTTCATTTATTGTTAGAATGAAATTCAAACTCAAACTTTTTAAAGGCGTCAAATACTGAGAGGGGTTTTTTTCCATGCACCCCTCCCCCTCCACTTTTCGTTTTTCCATACCATGGAAATGTCTCTGAATGCACCCAGCTCAGATCTCGAGTCTTGCAATTACTTGCTTTGGGGTGGAAATATACAGTTCTCTCACTCTTAGGGCTTCTCTACCCAGTGAATTAGTGTGCAGCAAGCCAGGGTGTGAATCTACAGTGCACTAGCCTGCTGTGTGCTCACTGACCATGTGAACTGTACACTACAAATTCTGTAGTATGCTTTGACATACTAGCCATGTAGACAAGCCCTTAGACCAGGTCCTGAGTTCACTATCCCATATATACTAACCACTTATCACTCTGCAGGTCCAAATAGATTTGTGGACATCTGCTTGATCCTCCCTTCAGGAATCCATGGCCAGTGATACTGAACAACAGCCTTCTTCATACAAAGTACTCTTATTTAGCAGCTGGAACAATGTGTCAGAGAAAAATGGATCTTAAAACAACAAACAGCCTGCATGCATATTTAGTCTTATGCTTCCCTTCAAGCTATGTTAGACAGGCTTTCCCTGTAAGTTACAGGAACAGAGACAATCCAGCTTGCATTCTTCTAACAAAGCTCAGATCCTCCAGTGTGTCTGTGGGTCTCCCAGTCTCTCTCTGACTGGTTCAAGAAAGCTCCACCTCCTTTCTGTGTAGGGTTCTGAGCCCACTTACCGTATTGGTCAATAGTTTCTCTGCTTACAGGCCAAGATGTGGCATCTTCTGGTGTTTAAACCTGGGTTCTTCTAGTCAGTGGGATCTCACACTGAAAGGCCACCTCCAGTTCACCCAGCTGCAAAATGGGTACCTTATGCATCAGGTTACGGCAGTCAAAGGCAGTTGGATGAGATGCTGGCCACATCAGTCCCTTGTGTACTATTGGCTGTGAAACTGATGTGCCTTAACCCTGTCAGCTCGATGAGCCATTGGTTCAGGGATCATTCAGCAGGGCCTATCCAGGACAATGCCCCTGCAATGGCTTCTGCTCCATTGTTTGGGAAATTAAAACCATTCATTCTCAATGGGGTATAATCAGAGGCCTGATTGCTGTCTCCCCCTTGTGGGAGGGTGTTGAAACTGCCTGATCCCCTTGCTTAGTCTAACATTCCATTTTAGAAGTCAAGCACACAGACCGCATTTTAGATACAGATCAAAATAGGCAATTTAATACAGAAGCCTTATGATCATACTTGATCCCACCAGGGCACACCGAGGTTGAGATTGTTTGTTTGTTTTGCCTCTAAGAGACTCAGCACAGAACTCGCAGCCCCAGAGGAGGGGGAGGCTCTTCCCCCCTAGGTAATTTAGACAGCTTTAGAGGCCTAAGTTACAGCAGCCATCTTGGCTGCCCTCTGGGCAGCAGCAGTGCTCAGACTCTGTACAGCCCTGCCATGCCCATCCTGCCCCAGCTCATCCCTATGCCAGGGCTTGCAAGGGGATCTTCACAGCACAGTCTAATGGATATCTTCTGCAGTGCCTGTGCCAAAAGAATCCTTTGGCAGGAACCAGGACATCTTAAACCCCTTTATGCTGCTGCAGCTCTCTTACCAGGCACAAAGGGGCCAGAGCAGGAATGAGTCCCTGGGGTCAGACTGAAAATGCTAAAGGTCCAAAGGCTTGTGGTAAATCTTGCATCAACTAGAGCCTTTCAATCCAGGATGGATGTCTTTCTCAAAGATATGTTCCTGTTCAGCCACAATTTATTGGACTTGATGCAGGACTCATTGGGTGAAATTCTCTGACCTGTGTTATGCAGGTCAAAGTAGTTGATCATGACGGTCCCTTCTGGTCTTAAATACATTGAAATCTATGGAAAAAAGAGCATAAAGAATAGCTGTTGCTGGGATATTTCCATCTGGGCTGGGAGCAGAAATTTTGGGTAGCACGTGAGAAAAGCTGTTCCCACGAAATTTCCAGCCTAGCCAACTCTGCAAATGTGTGAACTTTGAACCAGCATCTGAACTTCTGGATACTTCTCCTAACTGAACCTCAGCTCTGATACTGTGGAGGTTAATTGATGTGGATAGTCCTTCCAATTCCAAGAGGAATTAAAAGCAATGTTAATGTGCCAGTTCCCTGAGATGCTTTGAATTCTGCCATATCATGGCAATTGTTCAAGTTCCTACCTTGGGGCTCTTGTGACTTTGCAGACAGAGTGTAATATCAGGGAATAACGTCTAGAGGCAGAAATAACATGCATCATGTGCTGCTGGGAATCCTGCTCTGGGGGCTACTGCTGTCCAGGAGGCAGAACTAAATGCGATGCTCAATGTTTGCCTAGAAGGCACA